CCGTTGCTTCTAGGTTGGAGGCCATGGCTTCTAGGGATGGAGGCCATCGCTTCTAGGTTGGAAGCCATCGCTAGTAGGTTGGAGGCCGTTGCTTCTAGGTTGGAGGCCATCGCTTCTAGGCTGGAGGCCATTGCTTTTAGGTTGGAGGCCATCGCGAGTAGGTTGGAGACCATTGCTTCTAGGTTGGAGGCCATCGCTAGTAGGTGGGAGGCCCTCGATCTTAGGTTGGAGGCCATTGCTTCTAGGTCGGAGGCTATTGCTTCCAGGTATGAGGCCATCGCTTCTAGGTTGGAGGCCAGAGCTGGTAGGTTGGAGCCCGTTGGAGGTCATTGCTTCTAGGTTGGAGGCCCTTGCTAGTAGGTTGGAGACCATCGCTCTTAGGTTGGAGGCCATTGCTTCTAGTAGGTTGGAGGCCATTGCTTCCAGGTTGGAGGCCATCGCTTTAGGTGGAGGCCATCGCCATTAGGTTGCAGGCCAGCGGTTGTTCTTTCGCAGGATGAGCCGATCACCATTCTACCCCTGGGCCACAACGGCTCCAAGGCCTCAGAGGACAGGGCCTTTGTGTCGTTGAATGGAGGAAGGTCTACCGACAAACGCTGAGACACATCCCGAATCCATTCATGCGATTTCCTGTCCTGTGTTTGGTGCGTTTCGATTACGGCTACATAAAAGTTTCCGTATTACAAATGCTCAGCTCGTCAGGAGCTTGAAAGGCACTTGAGCCGTTGGCTCGCACGGCTCATGATGGAAGACCAGTGCTTCGATTGCGCAGTTGCCAAGGGCTGTTTGTTTTCTGTGTGAAATACCCTTATCACCTGGCGACCCCTTGATCAGTAGGGAGTCTCCTGGCTGACAGTATTCTTGATATTTTGCGTGCCAAGACTCTGTGTACCTTGATTTGCAGTCATTTGAAGACTTCTAGTTGGCAAGATCAAGGCATCATCTGGGAGAAATACGAGCTCAGCAGAGACGCCAAAGGTACGCGCGCGCGCACACATTCACACAAGGGACACGTGTCGTGATAGTTGGAGGAGTGATCCAGCTCATATTCCAAGAACATGTGCAGTTCGATAGTATACCCCCACGGCAAGCACCATCATTTTTATCCGTAAATTGAATTCAAGGAGTGGATATCCCCATGGTGAAGGAAATGAAGATGACAGCAACACAGACTGGGATAACGGTTTCTTCTCACCGTTCAGCTGAGCGATGGTAGGAACCAGGAAGCCTTTGAAGAGTGGAGGCGGCGCAAGGATAGTGAGGCTTGTTGCTGGGAGGAAGAAAGAAGTGGACTTCAACAACCAGGAGAACAAGAAGCTCTTTTTCCATTATTCCCCAAACAGGTTCCTGTTAGGGGTTCTCAATTCATTCTTAAGATGTGTCCCACCTTTGTGTCACTGGTGGTGTCCGCCCTTTTCCGCTGGCCATGTAGCATTTCTATTCATTTG